ACAAAACTTCTTCAAGACGATTCTCTAACAAATAATACTTTATAAAATATATCTTCAATAGATCATTTATTGCGCTATCCGTATTGTAATTTTAAAGATAAGATTGATAAGAAATAGTTTCCTAACTCCGAAATTCGAAAACTCCGAATAGGACTTTTTCAATCACTGACTTTTATCCAATTTTTATCGCCTTTTCTTACAAATTCTAAATTTTATCTTCGAAATTGAATTAATCTTTTCTTTTTTTCATTATTAGAGCACTTCGTATTTGGTTACGATTATTTTTACAAAGAACCGCCTTGTTTATTAAGCGAAGATTTGCCTTGAGCTCAGCCTCAGTTCGCGTTAGCAATTCATAGCAAACAAACCTTCGTCTTCGATGCGTTACTGTATTGTAATCCTATGCTATCTGAATAAAGCTTGAAAGTGTTTTACCATTTTCAACCCTTCAGAATATTACGCTGCGTTTCGCACGAAACGGCAGGCGGCGACGCGAAACGAGTCGTCGCTGACAATATAAATTTCCCCTATATTGAAAATCGACTGAGATCGACCCGGTTGTGTTAAGGCGATATGCTCGCTGAGTTTCGCGTATATATCGCGTATAAATCGTAATAATGTCGGAAGCAAGAAGATTTTTCTTGCAACATACAACATTGAAAAAGCAGGCATATAATCGAAATATAATTAATAGACACAAATAAACAAATTGAGTGCGTAATAGATACGATAAAGGCATAAGATACGAGAATAAGGGCTTAGAACAAAAACGAGAACATTGCAAAAAGCGATAATATCGAAGGCTAGAGGCTCCAGATCGGTGGTTTCAGTTGAATTTGATACGGCATCTCCGAGCAAAATATTGTCTTCTTGCTCAGCTATTTCTGAGGCAAATATTTTCACTAAACTCTTATAGCCGCGAGGTTACTTACACATTGTAATCATAAACAAATATTGTATCCGATAAAACTTAAAACTTAGTCACGTAGCATTTGTTGTGATATAAACAGCGCCGTTAACGTCTGCTCCCAAGAATATTATCAACGTTGTCGTTAGCGTCAAGAAACACACTCGCTTATCGATATGAAACCTGTGAAAAATGATTTGAAGGTAATAGATATGGTGTACATGTAAAAGATGTATAAAAATAATACATATAAAAAATATGGTAATAGATCCGGTAATAAGGGTACATTCCATCACACTTGCAAAAATATAGAGAAGCATCATCACTAACATTGCCGTATATCTTTTTATAGTGTCTCTGTTCTGTCGACAAGCCAATAGAAACAAGCCAAAATTTAATTGGTGACCAAGATCCGATTCCTGAGGAAAATATCGGAGACTCGATTTTGAATGCATTAAAATCTAACCCGAATTTCATCGGACAGGTATATCAGTTTCTAACGACAAAAATTACTTTGTGCTACGCGGACAAAAGACGAGGGAGCATTTATTAATAAACAAACGCGAAAATATATAAGGTACTACATATAATATGCAACATTAATTTAAAAAAATGCGATTCGCAGGTGAATGCGGAGACGAAGGAACAAATTACGTTCCAACAGATGAGAGAGAATAGCGTGAAGTGTGCATTATGGCTAAAAAAAGTAGGCGTAAAGAAAGGCGACGTAGTAACAATATGCACGCGCAATCCATCGGTCGTCTATATGCCGTTTCTAGCGAGCATATATATCGGCGCTATTGTTAATCCGTGGGAGGAGAAGTATTTCAGAGGTATATAGATTTACCATTTTCTGAAATTCAGCACAATTTGTTTTCACGCCAATGCCTACCCATTTAATCATCTCCTACTTATTCGAATGTTTTTAGACATGATACGAGTTATGTACTTTCTGGTGATAAATGAACCAGATGTGATCTTTGTCGATCGCGACAATTTTACTCAGCTTCTCTTATCCATAGTGATCTTAAAAAGTATTAAAAAGGTAATTAAAATCGTAACCATCGGTGGGATTAACATTTCAATAAGGTTAAACTCCCTGGAAACTATTCTAAACGACGACTTTGATAAGGCCGAGATCGACCAATTTTCCTGCGAGAAGAACCATATGATGGATACTGCGATTAGGACATTTTCTTCCGTTGCAAAAACTTATCCCGGTCAGGTGGACGTTCCTTACATAGCGTTTTCATCTCCGTCAAACAAGCAGACACCCGTTATGATTCCCGGTGCTATCGGTCTATGGTACGGATCTTTATGTTGGACTCACGGTCCGCTCTTGACCGTTCATGCTATACTTTCAAGTGTGACAGCGATAAAATCTGCGGTACTCAGCGAAGTTAATTTGTATAAGACGATAAAGAAGTATAAGGTAATATGCGGAAGTATCCGAATTGTTTTGAGAGAGTGAATAAAATATTTTGCATGTGTGCTTCTCAGGTAACGTGGGTGTTTCTTGAAAGCGACGTGTGGAATCTGTTGTTCCTGTTCCATCAAATCCGCGGCCAGAACTTACTTTCGAAATATGATGTATCTACCTTAAAGACAATACTATTCGATAATTGGACAATACACTATATTGTTCACGAAAAATTTATTTCATCGCTGCCAGACGTTTCTGTCATTCGAGTATACAGTGCGTAAATTATTATAATTACACTCATCGTAATCAATAATTAATGAAATTGCGAAGCAAAAATGTAAAATCGATGATTCTTGAATTTATGGGCTGTGTAATGGGCTATTTCAGGTAAACCAGAAATTGGCGTAATTGCCTATCAACGAGACATCGAGCTAACAGCCGGATCTGCAGGTTATGTAGCTAAAAATGTACAATTATCGTTTATTAACAAGGATATAGAACATTCGGCTCCAAACAAAAGATTTATACAAGATGCCGATGTCTATTGCAAAACTCCGTATATAACACGTTGTTGTAAGCACGGAACAGAACAACGTATGTGACACGAAATGTTGACTCGATAATCCGTAACAGTTTTTTTTATTGTTCTTATACACTTTGTAAGATAACTGAAATTCAGAAGTTTACACATGATTACGAACCATTAATGAAGAAATACTAACGATATTGCATCCTACAGCGTGGTGTTTTATCGGAGATAGGGGCTTTTATACTGAGGATGGCAACATCACCGTTACCACTGATACAGTCTTACAATTCATTGAATGTAAAGGGGGCCAACTCTATCCAAAAGTTATCGAAACCACGCTACAGCTCCATCCAGCTGTGTCCGAGGTCATTGCAACAGCTGTGCAACATCCTATTGATTTTCTGCATCTTGTGGCTTATGTTAAGACAAACCCCGGAGCAAAGGTTTATAGCTGGTTGTTTTTGTCAAGTATTTATAAAAGTTCAACGTTGAAAGATTTCACGTTATGTCTTAGGTGACGGTAACGAAGTTGCAGCAATTAGTGGAACGATTTAAACTTCACGAAGTGCGTTTTATTACGTACGATATGCCACGGCTACCTAATGGAAAAATAAATCGAGAGTACTTCCAATTGCTCAATAACTGATCATTATGATATTTCTATTGTAATCATACATATATATTCAAGTATGAATGATATTTCTATTGTAAATTTTAATCGATAGAAATACATACATATTCAAGTATGAATGAATATATAATACTATGATGCTAATAATGCCATCTATATATAAGATTAGATTGCAACTGAAGCATGCATAATACTCTAATATTGTATATACTTATATTTTGTTATTCATGTAACGAAAAAGAAGATACACTTTTTGCGGATATTATTAAAAATTTAAAAGTTACTGAGAATGTAAAGACTGGAATAAAAAAATGCGCTAAATGTTGGATAGGTGTGACGGATGACATATTGACTGAAAGCATCGCCAATGACATTGTTGCTCCCGGCAAATATGGAATTTTTACAAAATTGGTTAAAAGAATTGACAGTGATTTTTACAAACGTGTATTATTAGAATGTAAAAATTGTAAATGTAATAGTAATAAAAGACTACGTAAAGCAAATACAATTACATTATTATAATTAATTATATTAATGTAATACATAATAAAGTTACGATCTAAAATTTTTGTATAAAACACATTGCCTGAAATTCTTTCGATGCCAAATTACAATACTATAATTTCATGTCCGTGAACAAAAAAATCGTAAAGTGCGTTTTTCCCGATGCAGTTGGGAAAAATTGGTCTTTAATAAAAATATGACTAAATGGGACAATCAGTCAAAATATCTTCATACTGAAAAAAAGAAAGAAAAAATGTACACCTTCAATTAGCCATCGGATTTTTATAGCAATACGAAAAAAGACAATTTTCTCCGAAAATCGTAGTACTTGATAACAATGAAAATTTTGATTCCCTCGAATTGATTCTTAACGGTGACTTTGATGAGATCGAAATTGGCGAATTTTCCTGCGTAAAGAAGGATCCAACGGTGCCGATGTTTGCTACCATTTGCAACAACTTATCCTAATATTGAACAAGTGTTATAAATTCCTAATATCCTAATATTGACAAATTGTCGATAATAATTCGAGTCAGTAATTTTGAAGAACATAAAATCACCCATCTTTTACATCTATATTACTTAACATGTTATTATTTGATTAATAAATCGAGAAATAAAGAAAATATTTTTATTTTTCAGCAAAATAAACATTTCAAAGGTGCAAGTGGCAAGGTGTATTCAATTAATGGAATCAATCAAATCTGAAGAGTTTAGAAAATTAGCCGCGGCTATATTTCAAAGACGCGAAATATATAAATAAAACGCAAAACAGAAGAGAAAACATTGTCACGTAACATCAGCTAGAAGCAACTTGAAAGGACATCTCTAAACGGAACAAAATTGTTTTACTTATAGTTGTAACGCCATTTCGCGCGCACACGTAAATAAATATCACTAGAAATTAAAACTTGTGTTCGTTGCGATACATGAAGAGCTATTCGACACTTCTGTGATTTCAATAAAGTGTTCTCAGCATTATTAATTTAAACAATTTAATAGCGATATGGCGCCTAAGGTAATAGATATATATAAATATAATAGAACTCATTCTATTACATTAGTAAAAATATAAAAGCTTATTAGTGACATTATCGTGCTTCTTTTAGGATATACCTTCACCCGAGGAAAAAACTAATGTACTGTTCGGGGAAGAAGAAGTAGTTCATAATATAAATATTGGAAATATGATTTTGGACGCATTTAAATCTAAGCCGGATTTTATCGGTCAGGTAATAATAAAACTCTTTCCCCAATAATAAGATTTATATTATATCCAGAGAAAGCATTCGAATAAGAAAACATTAAACGAATATAGCATCTTATTAACAAAAATGTATTATAATGCCAACGTATTTAATACCAATGCGACTGATACGTCTTGTAGATAGATGCAGCGACGGGAGAGGAAACTACATTCAGGCAGATGCAAGAGAACAGCGTGAAGTGTGCATTGTGGTTACAAAAATTACGCTATAAAAATATCGTAATATCAATATGCACGTCATGTAATCAAATGCTCGCCTATATACCGTATCTAGCGTGTTTATATACCGGTATTACTATCAATCCGTGGGATGCAAACTATTTCGAGGGTACATCGATCTCTTTCTCTAAAATTCAGCGTAATTTACCTCTTCACATATATACCTACATATCTTTTATTTGCTCAATAATAAATATTTTTTAGATGACATACGACTTATGTATTTTCTGGCGGAATACGAACCGAAAATAATCTTTATCGATGGTAACAATTACAAGACGCTCATACGAGTTATCAGAAGCTTAGTTAATCAAGGAGGAATAACTCCTCCAAAAATTATAACTTTCGATAGGGTTGAAGGTGTTGATTCTCTCGAATCAATTCTGAACGCCGACGTTGACGGAGCCAAAATTGACATGTTTTCCTGCGACGAAACGGATCCTATGACTATTATGGCAGAAATGTTTTCTTCCAATGCAATAAGTTATCCTGGTAAAGCGAACGTTCGTTACTTCGCGTTGGCGTTTCCGTCGAACCAGGAGGTACCCGCAATGTCTCCCGGTGACGTTGGCCTATGGTATGGATCTCTAGTTTGGACCCACAGTCTGATATTGACCGTTCGTAGCATAATTTCGTACGTGACAGTGATAAAGTCCTCCAATTTCACCGCTGAAGACATGTACGAAACGATAGAGAAGTGCAAGGTACATAAGAACAATCAAATTTTTTTTGTTTCAAAAATTAATGAAGTACAACATATTTATTACGCATTTCAGGTGAAATGGGTGTTTCTTGAAAGCAAAATGGGCCGTCAATTATTTCAAACCGATGTTCGTATGTATGATGTCTCTTCCTTGAAGCAATTGATTTTCGGTGATTCCGCCATCGAGCAGAGTACTTACGAAAACCTCAACGAGTACTTTACAAACGTGTCTATCATTCAAGTATACAGTACGTATAATTTTAACCAACTGTCAATAATAGGAATGTATTGTGTGAAATTGATATTTATTGGATTTTTCAGGCATACCAGACTCGGGCATAATTGCTACTTATCAGCGGGACAATGATCGCGTCCGGCGGTTATTTGGCTAAAAATATTCAATTAATGATTCTTAATATACAAACAAAAAAACTTTTAGGCCCAAATGTACTAGGCGAGATTAATATACAAACGAAAAAACCTTTAGGCCCAAATGCACTAGGCGAGATTAATATACAAGCGAAAAAACCTTTAGGCCCAAATGCACTAGGCGAGATTTGGTATAAATATACGTGCAAGTGGTGCGACGCTGAAACATGCCAATCGTTATTTTGTTGTAATAACCGAGTGAACAAGAATAAGACTAAGAATAAGAATAAAACGAAGCAGTTCAATAGTGCTGCTAGTAGTGCTAGTCAGTATAATGATTTCTCTTAATTAACGTATTGTATGCTTGTAAAAGGCTTGCAAAAAAAACCAAGTATTAATTAAAAAATAAAATAATATTATATGTTTTCAGTTACATCTACGTGGCACTGTACCGGAGATTACGGCTACTACGAAAAGGACGGTAAACTCATCATCATCGATAATATAAACCGCCTTATTAAATATAAAGAATATCATATCTCACCTCTAAGAATTGAGAAAGTGTTACAATGGCATCCGGCTGTGGCGGAAGTCACTGTACTGCCTGTGCCAGATATTGATAATGGTCAACATCCTAGAGCTTTTATCGAGATAAAACATGGAGCGAAGGTTCGAACCTGATTGGTTTTTTTCTCGTAAAGAATTAAGTAAGAGTTTCTGTTTACGAAAAATTCACATTGTTGTATCTTAGGTGACAGCAGAGGACCTAAACCAACTTGTAGAAGAACATTTGCCCGACATCTATAAACTGCGCGGGGGAGTGTACGTCACAACACTCATGCCACATCTTCCCAATGGAAAAATCGATCGGATGCTGGTCCAGCGCCGGTCACTGTCCACTCTGTGATTTAACGTTAACAGTATTATATTTTTTTTTACAATCGATAGAAGTGTTTCAGTAACAATTTTATAAACAAAATGCCCAAAAATCATCGAGTGTCATGTTTCAATGACAGATTCTTTAGTCAATTAAAATGATCAAATGATTTTTAAATAATTTTAAAATTACCACTTCCTTATCAAAAGGAAATGATTTAGAGATTATGACTTGTTGCAATATTTCAATTTATTGCTACATATATAATTTTATAACTAAAACTGAAATTAAAAGTCTATTGAAACAAATTCCATTTAAAAATTCTAATGATTGTAATTTAGTAAAGAGTTATTCAGCTAAAGTTTCGCGAAAATTCAATGCTCTTTTTTGTCAAACATTTTTAAGTTGTTCGTAAATTTAGAAATAATTTGACATTTAAGGGAAGCTGAACATTGTTTGAAGAATCTCCATTAAAAGAAATATATATACAACGATTTTGGAATAAGGTCGAATTAAATAGTATCAGAAATCATGAAACTCTTCAATATCAAAAAGTATTTTTCTATGATATTTCACGATAAAGCGAATTGTTAGTGTGATTTATCGGTCTATAATATTTCGTGCTATAAATGTATGTAATATTAAATGACTTATAGTATTAAATGACTTTCTTATTTTGTATAAAAAATATATTAATAATGCAAGTTTTTAAATTGCATATGTAATTACGGAAATGCTTTGGACAATATTAGTAATTTGACAATAAAGATTGAAAATATAAGAAATGAAGAGAGAACTATTACGAACAGTACATGTTACAGTTTTCTTTCATTCGTTTCTATATTTAAAAATATTAAGATTGAATGATTTAGAACTTTCATCTTCAAAGTCTTTTTGTCTCAGATTCCCTTAATGGGTTAATATTGCCAAGTTGCAATATTAACTTTATAAGCCCGTCAATGAAAACAAACTCACAGTAACACACTGTTTTTATAAATGACTCAATTTGAGTCATTTTTAACCATTTTTCCTATCTATGTCGTCACTGCTCCTACTCAATGTGTCATTAATTTAACTAAACCAATGGAGGTAAAATAATGCTGTTTTGCGTTAAAATAAATTTAGACACGCATGATAATTAAAAATAACAAAATGTTATTTAACTAAAGATATTGGTTTAAATTTCATCCTTTCAGTATTTAATAGTGAATATATAGGCGCGTCGGTAAAAATTTTTGCGATATTATTTTAATCATTATATCATTCGTAAAAAATAATTAGGAATGGGAGAATCACAGTGAAAATATGTCAGCGTCAACGAATTTTTTTTCACCTCGAGAATGGCAGATATCCGAGCAATGTCACTATACGGTGAGACTATTAATCAGCAATCTATCGTCAATCCTAACGTCTCGCATTCACGCGAACTAAACGCAAATAAAAGATGAAAGACACCAATGAGACAAACGCGCGCGCGCGCCCGCGCGATAGTAATCACTTCCAATAAATTGCATTCCATGACATGTACGTGCAAAAAACGTCATAAAAACATCATCAATCTACGCTACGATTTAAGCGAATTCTTACGAAGTTTTCAAACACCCCCAGATATTAAAATTTTAAAAAATATAAGTAAAAAAAGAACAGTTTTTTCGTGTTAGAAGTATAATTCTTTTTTATCTTAACTTTCCATGTGTGGAAGTTCGCGATGTTTTTTGTTATTATATTATTTTATATCCTCCTGTGTATACATATATTACCTCGATTATCATTAAACATTTTACATACACGAAGTGTGATTTATGCGACCTACACGGGCACGTCGATATTGAAATAAGTCAGCAGATAGGATTTGACGTTCTCTTATACCGGATGTACGCTTTACATCGATTCTGGTGGAAATTTCGATCGCCCCCGGCAGTAGGAAAGTTAAATGCGATCTCAAAGTGACGGTTGGTAATGGAGGCGGATTACAATTTTCTTGTGCCTCGAGATTTCATTGAATATGAAACTCGCCCTCCGGCCATTCGAACGATAGCCCTCCCGCATGAGATTCGGCTATGTAAAATAGGGGTCATATACGGGGTGTTCTGCTCCACTCCCTACATATATAACAAAAAGGTCTCCCTATAAGAGTAACTCAGGTCTATTTATCTTCCAAGTAATTTCGCTTGTCTAATGAGGGAAAAAATAACTTCTTGGAATTTTATTAAAATTTTACACATGTATCTTAAAATAAATATAAATTCTAGTATACTAGAAATTTTTGCATATATATAATTCAGAAACAAATATAAATTTCTAATCAAGTATCTACATACTTGTATGGTATCTACATACAAAATTGTTAAAGTTAGTTAAACAATCGTGTATTGAATAAATTTCAAAGTAGGTTAAAAATTACATATGATATTAAAAAATATATTTATCTGAAATTATCTGAAAGATAAGCTTTTATTTCCTCTTTGCGTTCTTAAGTTTCTCAAAGATTTTGTTTTATAGAGTCTTATATATTTTAAAAGACTGTTCCAAACGCGATACTTTGTACTCACTGTGCACAAGTTACTATAAAAGTTTGAAATGCGTCTTGTTAAAGAATTGATTCCACATCGATCATCCAGGATCAATAAAGCCAGTAGCGACTTCGCGACACCTCGTATATAAACAACATGTATTTCACAAGCCGGCGATAACAGTCGCGTCCCTTAGAAGTCGGCCGGGGTCGCGAACTCGATCGACACGAACTTTCGCTATAATGCGACTTGTAAAACGCATGAGAGAAGGCGGTGTCGTTTAAAGTTTAAACGCGCCATCGCAAGTTCTCGCGAGCGGATTCAGCGAGCTCGCCATTATCCGCCAAGTTCCGGCTTGGTCTGATGTCCTCGCGCGGATTTACACCCCGTGTGCAATTCGCGTTGGCGTGCATCTAAAAACAACAGTCCGGCTCTGCGTCGGTTCTAGGCTGGCTTGATACAAGAGAGAAGACGCGTGTATATGCGATGGCGACGGTCGCAAAGCCGGACGAGAGCTTTGTGGTGTTAACGCGCGAGTTTCGCGCGAAAACGAAGCGAACTTTCGCGACTGGCCCGACCGGTCATAAATATTCCCGGACAAGATTGAAGCGATAAATTCGCAAACTTTCTCGATCGCCGGTGTTTTAATGGCCGCGACGAGTCTTTGGTGATGCCCGCCGCCGAATTGCATGCGGGATCACTGATCAAAAAGTTGCGATAAAAGTGCGACGATTCTGCGTAGTTATGACGATCTTCAATCCTGTATATCTTAATTTCTGTAATAAGTTGAGCGAATTTGTTCATCAAGTTCTGGTAAAAAATACGGGTAACGAATTGAACATATTTAATAAATTCAAATTTTTATTTGTTGTCGTTTTTCAATTTTATCAGCAATAAAACTAGCAATTGATGAAATTTGAAAACTATTTTACTACTTTAAAATTTTAATTAATTAGATGAAATAAGATTATTATATATAAATTTTGGAATTGATTAATTATAGTATAATAACTATATACTAATTGTAAGTATATAAGTATAACTATATATTCATATGCAATTTTAAATATTAGCGAGAATAGATTGTGACGTAATGGCAAGGACAGATGTTATAAACGTTCTCGATAATATCAGGATTTCAAAGAAGTATACACGACTCAGATCAGTACAGTGAGAGAATATAATCTTTATTATACTTTCGAGAGATAAATTAATCGTACCGATAGCTTTTGTGGTCTCTGCGCTACTACTGTCGCCAGGCGGGCGCTCCCCACTTTCTAGCTCGCACCTATCTTTTGTTTACACAAGCGATACCCCGGGTGCATTCCTTCTATTTTTCCAGGACATCCTCCCCCCTTTATTAGAAAAAAGTACACAAAATATTACGAAATGCTTAATATAAAGTTACATCTTTTGATAAATCTTAAACGCTATCTCAAGACTAATAAGTAAAATATCAAAATTAAACGCAAAACAAACAAGAAATATCAAATACATTCTTCTTACAACTAATCCTTAAACTAATACTTAAAACGATCGAACGTTCTCTTAGCGAAAAATACCCGGGGACATTAAATAAAATGTGTCGTTTCGGACACCAATCGCATTTTAATTTAACTTTATATCTCTGTGAAGCGTGTCCGCGTTTTAGGCAATTAAAACAACAGCTTTCCCTTTTAACAATTTCCTTTCTTTCGTCTAACGTTAATTTACGCGCGGAGTCACAGCTTTGACTATCGTAACTCGACTTACAAAAAATACACTTCGGCTTCTTTTGATCCTTCGCTGTAAAAAGAACGCTCGCGCTAGCCGCTTCTTTCGACGACTCCGTTTTACCTTTCGGCTTCTTCGTCTTCTCTTAGTCCGTCGATGACCTGAAGCCTGTTAACGCCATGTTGATGCGCTCCTCGTTTTCCACCTCTATCTGCAGGAATTTAAGAAGTTTTTCGAGTCGATCGGTAGTTTCACGCTGTCCGTTGCCTCCTATCGCTTCCCGTTGTCCGCTGCGTTGCCACGCTCGAAGGACCTCTTCCGGGAGAGACGACTCGACGAGAGGATAGAGCATGTCGGCACATTTATCCATCGTCACGCCCAACGTTTCCAACGCACGAATACAGCATTCGACTTTATCATAAATGCTTGCGAGAGACGATTTCTTGTTTCCCCTCAAGGCGTTCTGCAACACGAGACCGAGAAGTTCGCGCACGTAGAATTCTACAATAATATAGTCTCGTCCGAATCGATTCTTCAAGCTCATGAACGCCTTCTCGTAGTTTTCTCCTGTAGGCGGGAAACTTTTCACGAGCTCGTTTGCGCGCGAAACCAGAGCTTGCTGCAGATATTGCATCTTGTCTTCATTGCTGATCGAAGCATCGTCATTTATCTCCTTAAATTGACTCCAAAAGGGAAGCCAGTCCTTAATATTACCGCTGAATTTTGGCAATTCCAATTTCGGAAACTTTGATGTCTTCGTAGCGCTCGTTGAAACCGTTCTCGACGCGTTTTCCGGCATCGATGTCGTCATTTTTGCTATCTTCATCTTCGCCGTTAAATACTGTGTCTTATACACGTCGTCCAGTTCCAGATGAGATCTATAGATATTATCATACGTTTGATATTCACATAGTTTTGATTGGAAAAAAAGCCATTGATTATATGCGGAATGTACTGTATCTAATTCCGTCATCTTTATTTCCAAGAACTGGAATGCCGCTATCTTCTCTTCTCTCGGACAGTCGCTTTCCAAATTTTTTGTGAAAGCGTTAAATGCCCTTGTAAAGGCAATACGGGCAACGTGTATCTGCTTCTCAACCATCGTGACTGCACTCACTCGGACAATCGTCGAAACAACAAAATTATATTTCCGAATCTACTGAAATTACGTCCTGTCACAGTCGCCAGTTGTTATGAACGTTCTCGGTAATATCAGGATCTCAAAGAAGGATACACGACTCGGGTCAGTACAGTGAGAGAATATAATCTTTATTATACTTTCGAGAGACAAATTAATCGTACCGATAGCTTTCGCGGTCTCTGCGTTACTACTGTCGCCGGGCGGACGCTCCCCACTCTCTAGCTCGCACCTATCTTTTGTTTACACAAGCGATGCCCCGGGTGCATTCCCTCTATTTTTCCAGGAAAACTGAAGACTTGAATTTATTTATCTCCTGGATAGGGTACTGATTCGCGAATATAGTATAGTGTAAAAAATTCTGTTAAAATTACTCAGTATTTTATTTCCAGTGGGTCGATAATCTATCATGCACGAAATTATAATATGGATCGCTCCTCAGTATGAAGTATGTATAATTGATATATTTAACATTATTTTTTAAATTTTATTTCTAATTTTAACATTTAATCTATTTTCAAAGACTGTTTCATTTTTCACAAATTAAAATAAAAGGATATGTTAACTTTTGGAAAGAAAGAAACAGATCTGTTTTAATAGACGACAACGCCGCAAGTTCAACGATGAATTATGGCAGGACAGTTCGGATGCATTTGGCCTACGGGGATTATTTGGTTCTGACGAATCAAATCAGAATTAAAAAGAACTAAAAATTAAAAATTAAATTTTCTTTTGTAAACATTTTAAAACAAAAATTTCTTAATGTACTTCTCCTTTATCTTTTCTGCTTCCTTTTCCTATAAGTAAAATAGTAATAAAAAATAAATAAAAAAATCATTTATCAAAAATTATTAATAAAATAAATACCACAATAAAAGGAAAGAGAATGCATATGAGAAGAGAATCAAAGTTAGAGAAACTTTTTCTGCTGATAAAGTATTTCGATAAAATAATTGTGATAAAATGTAAATATGTATTGTCCAAGTTTATTCTTCGATATGCTAATAAACAGATAAAATGCATTGCGAGCACCGATCATCGTCGGTACCAAAAAGATCTCAATGTTCTCCTTCGTGGATAACAGATTTTTACAAGTTAAAACACGAGAAGGCTCTTTCGAAGTAAGATTTCAAAGTGCTGAAGAGACTACCGGATATCTGAGTGTAAAAGTGGCTTCGATAGTCAATTCTCAAAAGTCTTCGTAGGGCGAGGCGAGCGGAGTCTCGACTAGATTGTCGAGAAGGCGCGCAACTTTCACGCTTATCGACAACGAGGCGCAGTTCCGATACGTGCTCTAATCGCGAGCTTTGATATAGGACGAATCGATAGCTGCACGCTGGTAGCGATTGCTCACAAGGGATTCAACAAGAAAGAATCTTCTTCCGATTGGTAACTTGCACTCTCTCGCCGCTTTTACGACCGAAAGATTAAATAACAAACAGGAAGCAGGTTTTTAATGTTTTTTTAATCTTTTTGAGTCAAAGACGAAAATATTTATGAAAGAGAATGTGCATATTTTTTTATGCTACTCATTTATAAAAAATACGGTACAATACAAAGTATAAGATAATTTAAAATAAAATGGATGTTTAAAAATCAAAATTAAAAAATTAAAACTATTCTGACATTAATGTTTATGTATAATGTGTATCTCTCCTAATATAGAAATAATTAATTTTTTCTAAAAAAATTAAGTTTGTTAATTAAGAAGAAATCCTAAGTATTATCTAGACATTTAGTGACACCCTGTGCATACGGTTGCGATAATCCGCAAATCCGGCGGAAATTCATTATTACATCGTAATGATAAGCAGGCGAGAGGACATCTGGGAATATCGTGGCATCGATTTCCATTCGATTAATAATGAATGAAAGTGCAAAAGCCGAAGCGAAAGGGGTTTCGGCCGTGATAATGATAAGGACACAATAGAGTGCAATCGGTGCAACTGGGCACAAGCGAGCTAATTTCGAGCGGTTGGCCGATAGCCCTCGGAAATGCCGATCCAATTAAGCCGGCGCATCGCGTTCATTCATCGCCAATTTCCGCGAGTTAGACTACAGACCGCGATATAATAGCTTGCGTTTTGCGATTATTTCGACGCGTATATCAAATACAAAGTATTCGCAGAGAAAGTGCGAGATATATGTATATTTGCAACCAAGTTTGCAACGCTTGGCAATATCTGAGATTTTGTTCTGTAAGAAAACTATACACACACACAATAAAAGGTCAAAATTAAAAAATTACCCATTAAAGTATAAATTTAAAAAAATTGCAATTTGTTCAAAACAAAGATACAATACACTGTTAAATTAAAAATAAAATAGGTGTAATATGTATAGCAATTTTAATAAAACAGTAACTAACAAAACAAATAATTAAAAATAAATTTGTAAAATTTTCTTCTTTAATTATTCTTAAGCGCGAGTTTTGATTTATTTGAAATTCTCTTGAGAATATTACATATTACCCTTATATTAGTATCTTTATTAACAAAATTTAAAATCAATTTTATCACATAAGATATTTAATACCGACAGTGAAATAATGTCGCCCTATTAAATTTTTGTTTGTAAAAATCCTTCCATTTCAAAATTTATCTGGGACTTTTCGAGCAAGTAGTCGCAGCTTTCAAACACCCGGTACAATGTAACGGTGCTGCACTTCGCGAGCGCGTTCAGCATTAATAATTCTTATCTTTTCATCCGATACCGTCCGAGAGAGAAGCTCGCCTCTCGAGCTGCAAGAACGGCGACGCTCGAGAATATTTCGCAGTCTTTCCTCTCGACAATCCCCCATCTCCCTATCTCGATCTTCAGCTCCTTTTCCTCGAAATGTATTCGAGGATGCAGCGTGACTTCCGGTGGGCGAGCGGAAGTTGCAGAGAAAACAGAGCGGAATATTTAAGGTAATGCGCTACAAAGAGAGAGAAGAGAGACGAAAGAGAGAGAGAGAGAGAGAGAGAGAGAGAGAGAGAAAGAGGGGCGCGTGAACCGAATTTCTTCACGAAACGCGAGGGTGAGAAGAGACAATGCAAGACAGGGAAGGAGGAAAGGAAGAGAAGGGTCATTGGTCGATGGCAAAGGCAAAGACAGAAGGTAGCCAAAGAAAAGCCGGTCTTATTTTCCGTTCCTCAGATGGTCTCTTTTTCTTCCGGCGAAATAAGATTGACCCACACCTCGTTAGAGAATCATTAACAACGCTTGCATTGCCACTTCCGACAGACGGAATTCCCCATTTCCTTCGCGGTTCTTTCTTCACCTACCGTTCTTTCCGCCACGATCAATATAAATTCCCAGATCTTTATCTCTATAAAAGGATATATAGTAAGTGCTATAACAAAGGTAATAAATTTTAAATCGTCTCTCAAATTTTAAGATTTTCTCGCTTGTCAAATTAAAGAAAACGAAAGTAATAACATTACTATCCTCTTTGTAAGTACATAAACGGCTTTTTCTAGTAAAAAGTTTATCTGACAAATTAAAATTTGTTTTTATAATTTTTGTTAATAATTAAAGACAAATTCATAAATTCTTTGCCAATGGTATTGTATTTTTCCGGAGCTGTAATTATTTTTTCTTCTATTTGTTATTAGATATCTTCGTATACATTTGGCAGAACATCTATCTTCGCGCTTATATTTTTCTCGATATCATATTTTCTAAGGTTCTCAATTTTCTTTGCTTTTACATTATTGAACAGTTTCGCGTTTATTGTGAAGTTCTCTTGTACCTCCGTCGCATTTTGGCACGGAACATGATCTAGACAAATGCATCACCGGGGTTCTTGTTACGGTGACTTGTCCGTTTAACCGCTACGATACGATATATCGCTATGACAGCGATATGTTTGCGTCTGCGTCTCCGAAGAGGACTTCGAACGCGCACTCGCCTAATTACGGTCTAGACGAATCCCTCATTGTACCTGGCATCTCTCTTGGCGTTCTCTCGATGATTAGCGCGCTCGCGACGACGACGACGAAGAGATATGTACATGGCGCGTCACGTAATTCTAGCTGCGAACGCAGCCGGCAAGCTTATTGCTCCGGGACGCTGAGCTCGAACAAAATATCGCCGCGAAGCACCTTCGAGATAATCCTGACTTTCGATCATGTTTAACGCGAATCGCATTTTTGTTGTTTCATATATATGCGGGAGTTAATGTTCTGTACTGTTTTAATTTTTCGGACTAAAATATTCGGATAAAAAACCTTGTTATGTATTATTGTATATTATTATAATATATAACAAATATTGCACGATTTTCAGTATTTTTGCTTGAAAGTATAATACAAATTAATTAAATTGTAATATATAATGATTATTAAAAAAATTGACATTGCAGGAATTCGAATTCTCGTCGACCACGAATGACAAATCATAACATCGTACATTTTCAGTTTTCTCAGCCATAACACTTCTTCTTGCCGTGACAAAGTTCTAATATTTATCTTATAGCTGGCCGACACACGCACGCATGCACGCACGTACATTTGCGTGCACACACGTAGAAAGTGTCGAGGGACGAGGAGTGATTGTGAGTAAGAAGAGAGTGTATGCGCGAAAACAAAACGGCAGTAATATGATCATTTGATTATCAATGGTTATTAGTTGAGACGCTATACTCGCTACGCTACGACATAGTACCAGCAACGGAGCGAGAAATATTAAGGCCTGTTCTTTTTAGCTGAACTTGTTGCACGGTTTATCTTTCCTCTTCTTCTTTTCACGTTAGAGAGAAAGAGAAAAGATAAACCGTGCAAGAAATTCAGCTAAAAAGAACAGACCATATGACACAATAGTATAGTTGTAACGCGTAAAAACGTGTTATATTTAAAAAATTAAATATTATGTGTTACGCGTGTGTGACAAAACAATGGAAGATCAAAGAAGGCTACATGGTCGATCTAGATTTAATATAATTTAACATTTCATAATTTTAAAAATGTTAAAGAAATATATACTAATAATAATTGGCTAATGGCGAGAATTGAGTAACAGGTTAAATAATAGGTAATGATAAACTATGCTGTATAAAATTACTTCTTTCATGAAGTTCAAAACTTGGAAAGCATATTTTGTTGAAAGTAAGGAAAATATTCATATCAGATTCTGCAGAAATAAATATCTTATAAATATTACATAGATAAAATTTATAATAAAAATTTCTTC